GCGGGGCCACGCTGCGGGGCGGTGCGGGGCGCGGGTCCGCGCTGCCGGACGCGCTTCTTCCTGCGCTTCCGCAGCCCGCGGGAACCGCGAGTTGCCCCCGCTGCAGAAAGCGCCGTGCGGCTCCCACTCCACGGCCTCCTCTGTCCTCACGGGACCACTGTCCCCGTCCTCCTCCGCAGCGGTAAATCTCCCCGTTATTTCGTGTTGGTGGCTTCCCTGGCACGGCTCATGCAGGCGCGACGCAGATACTGCAGCAGCTGGGGCAGGCACCACTGTCCTTCCCCGCTACCTGCTCTGGTACTGATTTTACACCCTATTTTATACTGTATTTTATACCATGGCTTGAGATTTTTACGTGCTCGGATATGTGCTTGTGTTAAGGCAAACAGCTCATTTTCTTTGTCTTCTTTTAAGATAAGGAATAACTGACTCCATTTCTATGAAGACACTAGCTTTTATTTAAATATTGTTCCCTTCCAGAAGATATACCCCAGATACATACTATGAGAGAAGAAGAAAAAAAAAAAAAAGGAAAAGAGAGAAAAGTCTTTTTTCATATGTATTTAGACCTTGGAGAGCCCCTGTCAACCCTTGAGCCTTTTTTGCCCTTACTGACTGCAGGGCAGCAGAGGCTGGGTGGCAGAAAGCGTCTCTTGATCCAGTTCTTATGAGCTGGGCTTCTGCATGATGGAAAAACATCACGCCGTGGAAATGTAAAGGCAGAGTAGCTCTTGTGGGCAGAATTATGCATGTTTTTCAAAAGAAACATTGTACCACTGGATGGATGCACCACTCCACACAAGGGCTCACCTCTAAACTGCGCATCAGCAAAATTGGGATTTTACTTAAATATACTTAATTTTTTCCTCAGGTTTCCTTCAGCAGAGCACATCTAAGTCCAGATATTAGATATATTAGCCTTTAAATGATCTGTCAAATAATAAATTTTTCCCGCCCCTAAAACGGAAAGGGGAAAAAAGCTTACTTGAATAGATGCGTTCTCACAGAAGAGAAGGTAAAGCTGTCAAAACTAAGAATTCAAGTACAAAAGAAACTACAGGAATGCTAGAAATACAAAAAAACTTGCTTGAACCAGGTCAAGAGGTGGCCCAGCTTTCCCTAGGAAGCATTTGGAAACCCCCGGCTGCAGGTCGGCCTTCCAGGATATTCTGTCCTCACTGCACTCCTGGAGCCCATCACGCCGGGAGGCAGACTGCACCTTTTGAATTTCTTTGGATAGCTTGCACTAAAAAACGCTACAGCACCCTTTGTTCAATGTAGTTAGCCCATACAGTCTGAAAAAAAAACCAAAACCCACAAAAAAAACCCAACCTATTACCATGAGTAAACTTGTGGCGCTCACCAACCTGTCTGCAGAAGTAACTGCAAAAGGAGGTGAGAGACCATGAGATCCGCCAGCGCCCACTGCTGACCTGCAGCAAATCCACCACTTGATCCAACATTGCATCATTGCTGGTACATAACACATCTTAGCTCTTAGTTTTGCTTCGGGTTTTTTTAATAAAATGGCTCTTGGCCTCCCAGGGGTTTTCAAAGACAGAAAACAAGCACTTTGGATATTTAGTTTCCATTACAGTTGCAGTGAAGTTCTTTTGCTTTGGACTGATTCTCTGGACAGAAAGTCAGTTCTGTGGACCTCTGGTCCCTGTACAGTTGCACTGCGTCACTGCATACAACCTGTACACTGTAAAACATATTATCAGTGTCACAGCAAAAGACAAGGCACAGCCAGAATGCAAGAAAATGAAAGGAAAACAAAGTCACATATAAAGCTTTAGAAGTTTAACCTCTGAGAGATGATGGGGTCTCTCTCAACATCATCATGTAGTTTCTAAAGCCAAGTTACAACTCATTCTCTGACTTGGTTTAACAAGCTTATTCAACAAGCTTATTCAGTTCCCTCACATTCTCCCGACCAGTTTCCATACTGAGAAGCTGACGTTTCTTTTTCCTGTATTTCAGAGCCAACCCAGCATAAAAAGCACAGTCTTTTTAGACAGTCACTACTGTTTGGTCAGAATCTGGAGAGTGCCAAGTTCCCAGTGTGCAGGGTCTTTCCACCAGGAAAGCTGCAGTAGAAGTCCTTTCTAAACAAGTTAAAGCCAAAAGGGTTGGCCCCAGAAGAACTGTACAAAGCTCTACTGGAAACCAAGAGAGGACGGAGCAAGATAGATTTACAGCATTTATATCCCCACGAACAGGGCCCAATCCCACACACATCTCATCCAAAAGCTCAGTTGTCCACCTCTTCCTCCTCATTTGGCTCCTCTTCCTCCATTCTTTCATCATCGTCATCATTCTCTTCCTCTCGGCTCTTATCTTGCTCTTTCCAGTCTGTCTTCTTGTCTTTATCTTTCCTTGCTTCTTTCTTTCCCTTCTGTTCACGTCTGTAAACTAAAAAAAGAAGAGACCACTGAACACGTGCAAGTGCCTGTCCACTGCACAGCTAGCAGAGCAGCCAACGTCCAAGGCCAACTTGCTCTCCAGGGTTGCAACAGGAGCAGCAAACTCATGGCAGCAACTCGCCCTCGTACCTGGGCTGTGCGGAGCAGCTCCACAGGGAAGCGGGCTAAGTGCCGTTCAGCAGAAACGTGCTGAAAAGGCCGCAGGAGTTCACATTTACAGGCAGCACCTAAGTCTTGCCTGAGACAGAAATAACAGGGGAGTGGTATCAGAGGAGACTTTTCCCAGTCCTCATCAGTTGTGAAATAATGTTACCCCAGTCCTGTTAAGATGTTAGTTATTCCCCAGGCAAACTGCAGTGTAGGATGCTGGGCAAAGAAAAGAGAAACAAGACAGGGAAATAAGTGTTGCTTGTTGAACCTTTGAGGAAAATAAAACTCGGGCTACTCCTTGGACATGAGCTGAGACCAGTTACCTTCCAGTGATTCTTTTAAAGGGCCGACAAATCGCTGAAACTCCATTTCCTCCATGGCAGAGAGAACATCACCAGCATTCAGCGTTTTCCTCTTCCCTTTCATCGCAAAGTTATTGGCACTGGACAGAAGCAAGGAGAACAGAGATAATTGATAACTGCCAATTAATTCTGGTCACACCTTAATTAAGGTCACAGACAACTTCCAAAAGAAAAAAAAAAAAAAGTGATCTCCTAACCATTCAGTTGTTCTTATCACATACTACAGCTGACTTACTAGAGGACAGATATTTTCTTGTTTGTATTGGCTGCTCGTGTTTTCATCTAGTTGCATTGCTCCCCCGCACTGATAGTTTTCTGTTTGTATGGATCTTTCCTACAAATAACCAGGGGAAGGAGAGAAATTTGATCCTTAGCTCTAAGACGAGCTCCTCTTGCTCCTCGCGGGTGGGCAGACCAGCTCTCCTCCCTCACTGTGCCTACAGCAGACCAAGCCTGACTGCTGCAATTTGATGGATTGGGCTGGATTTTATGGATTTTATTTATATAAGCAGTATTTCACTGCAGCACCTCCAGGAGAGGAGGCGGAGAGGTTAGGGGTTATAAAGCAAGTGCCCTGGTGATCCAGCCCAGCCATTTCTTACCATGATGTCGCGTAGAGCACAAACACGCTCGCCGCTCGGGATATCGCGCTCCGAGCTTCTTTAGAAATATTTACTCCGTCGGGAAGCTGAAAAGCAAACCCAGGTTTTATGAGAGGCTGCTGCAAACGACTCCACACTTGCATCCCTCCCGCGTGAGCACAGCCGAAGCCCTCGGGGAGCTCCGCACGGCTGGGGCCCCTCTGCGCAGCCTGGGCGCTCTTGCGGGAGGCCCGCGATGGCCCCGGGCC